TGAAAAAGTTTCAAAGGGAATAAATTAATACTCTTTCCCCTAAACGAATAAAAAAATTGATTTATACTCATTTTAAATCTATTTATAAATTTTTTTTCAATTTTTGTACATAACATAATTTGAATTACCACAAACTTTATTTTTTTTTCTAAACTCTCAGCTAAATCAAACTAGATTCTTTTATTTGAGAGAGAGAAAACATGTAACAAAATGTCATACTTTTCATAACACTTAATTTGTTCTTGATAAATTTTGGGAGACATACTGACCTACCACAGAGTTTGCCCTGATATTTTACACACTCGTATTTGAAAAATAAAGAAGAGGATAAGGTGTAACAAAAAAGAAAGACATTATACATAAATATGATCATTAGTTTGACGTCAGTTAGTACCTATGATTTTTAATTTTGAGTGTACGCAAGTAAACACTTAAACTTGTATAAAATTAAACAAGTAGTAGATACACATCTCCTACATGACATAATACATGTAGGGCACAAAATTGTCAGGTAGGATGCTATGTTGGACGAACGTGTCTGTTTGTTCAATTTTAGACAAGTTTAGGTGTCTACTTGTGCACATTCAAAATTAAATATCATAGTTATCAACTGACGCTAAGTTAATGTCATATTTATGTATTATTTCAAAAAAAAGCGTGAAGTAGTTTTGTCGTGTATATAATTTGCTTTTTAGTCAAAACTCTCCCGTTAAAAAAATATTTTATATTTCAATGTGAGAAAGAAATTTCAGATATAAATCTAAATTTAATCAAACATTAAAAAAAAAATGCAAATGAGAAAAGTGATTTAATTTATTGCTTAAATAAGGGGTAACCAAATTAAGGAGAGAGATTTGTTTGCTTCATGGCAAATGTTTAATGATAGATGGGGCCTTAGTTGATTACTCCTTGTCATCTCTCTATCTCTATCTATGAGATGAGAGTTGGCATTGCAACAAGCAACATGGGGGATTCTTCTGACAAAAGTCCTTTTCATTTTCCAGTTGTTAAGAGTGAAAACCAAGTTTCTGATCTCTCTCTCTCCACACTCCACATGCTTATGTCAAACTCCCTCACTCACAATTCCCCTAATAAGATAAAATGACAATTCTCAAACCCATTATGCATAACAATAACGTCTACCTAAATCTTATTTTATATCGAAAGAGTGCGAAAAAGATAAACTTTTAAATTAAATATAAATTATCTCAAAATTATTATTTTTATTTGTCAATGCTATAACTCTACAAGGTAGTAATATTTGTTTCGATTCCTAAATATCTACATATTATAGAAAAATAAATTTTTATTTAAAGCTATTAGATGTGTCTCCTGATCATGTGTCATTTTTCACATTATAAATTACTGTATACATATGTTACAAATACCAATAGGAGCCCATGATTATGATATCCCAACCTTTTTATTTGTGAACAAATACTCTTGATACAAAATTATGATTAATTATGTTAAATGTGGTAAAATATACTCTAATCTATGGCCTTAAAAATAATACAATAAAAGATGAAATTGAAATATTGTGAAGAAAAGATTATTTTTTCTAATACAAACTAAAAAGGAAAATTAATAATTTCAAAAAACGATATACTTCCTTAGTTCAAAAAAGAATGATCAGATTTCCTTTTTTAGTTTGTTTTATAAAAAAAAAACTTATTTTTAATAATATTATTAATTTTTCACTTAATATGTTTAAGATAGCAAAATTAAAAAATATTTATATACACTTGACATAATTTATTTTAGAACTATAAAATTAAAATTTTTTATTTCTTTTCTTAAATTTCGTTAAAGTTTTTTTTTAAAAAGAATAATATAATATCCTCTCAAACAAAAGAATTTCTAAGATCGTTACATTTAACGGCGAAAAAGCTCCGTTTACTCGCGACTCTCCAATATATATACCCTCCCTCTAGTGTGTGGCATTTTCCCCAAAAATCAAATTCTCTCTTTAGCTGTAAACCCTATACTCTTTCTCCTACAAAAAGTCACTCCAAAGTTTATCAGCGAAAATGCGTGAGATTTTGCACATTCAAGGAGGTCAATGTGGAAACCAAATCGGAGCTAAGTTCTGGGAAGTAATCTGTGCCGAGCACGGTATTGATTCCACCGGAAGGTATCAAGGAGACAGTGATCTTCAATTGGAACGACTGAACGTGTACTACAATGAAGCAAGCTGTGGAAGATTTGTTCCACGCGCTGTCCTCATGGATTTGGAGCCGGGAACTATGGATAGTGTCAGATCTGGACCTTTTGGTCAGATTTTCAGGCCTGATAACTTCGTGTTTGGCCAGTCAGGTGCTGGTAACAACTGGGCCAAGGGACACTATACTGAGGGAGCGGAGCTTATTGACTCGGTGCTTGATGTTGTGAGGAAGGAGGCTGAGAATTGTGACTGTTTACAAGGTACTTGACAAGTCTAGTAGAGTCAATTCCCTTGATCTAACAATTTCACTGTTTAGTTTTTTTCTCTTCTTTCTGGTTATTAAAGTTATACATGTTTCAGTCGTTATGTTTTGTGTATCCTCTTTGATTTCTTGAATTTCTGGTAGGATGAGTTTTTGTTAAAAGTCATCGCGTTTGATTCGATTTTACTAAATCAATCCGCTGATTATAGTGAACAATTGAGTGAAATGTCACAGAACACTCTCATTTTGGTGGTGTTAGATATTATATATATTTGATCTCTAGTTGTGCTTCAGGAGTGCATTTTCTTGGAGTTTACAGATACAGTATCTCTTCAAATGAGCGATTTGATGTGAACTTAGGTTTCTTTGTTTGTGCGTATGAAGAGCAATGAGTTCTAGTTCAATTTTTTACCAAAACAACTTTCATTCAGCAAAGAAAATTTGTGTCTATTTGGCAAATATGCTAGTTTATTGAAAACAATTGAGTTATTTGGTACTTGACAATGTGTCAGCTTGAATATTGTTTCTCCTAATGGCTATATCATCATGGTTGCTGCAATTGCTTGAAACCTCTTTGCTTGGTTGATCTCTTATTTTTGGTTCATAACAAAGTACATGAATGCAATTTGAAGTTTAACAACTCAAACCCTGCTTGAATGAGAGTCAATGATCTAAATTTGATTAGTTCTGTTACCCTCTAAATGAGTAAAACATTGGGCTAGCTACCTTTTTCTTACATCTTGTGGAAGCATTTTGAGCTCAATGTAAAATACCTTTTCGACTTGTTAGTAATCTGATATATTAAGCAAATGAATATGGATTTTGTTTTGGTTTCAGGTTTCCAGGTTGCTCACTCTCTAGGAGGTGGAACTGGATCAGGAATGGGAACACTCCTTATATCTAAGATCAGGGAGGAGTACCCAGATAGAATGATGCTTACTTTCTCTGTATTCCCTTCCCCCAAAGTTTCAGACACAGTTGTTGAGCCCTATAATGCTACTCTTTCTGTTCACCAGCTTGTTGAGAATGCAGATGAGTGTATGGTTTTGGATAATGAAGCTCTTTATGACATTTGCTTCCGAACTCTCAAACTTACTACTCCGAGCTGTAAGTTGCACCTCTTCTCAGTTAGCTGTTTTGTTCTTACTAAATGCAACCTGATAGTTGTGTGATATATATTAATGTTATGTTAGTTTTAACATCTATTCTTGACTTAGAATAATTAAACTGCAATAAGCTGAGGGAGGATGAGGTGACATTCTTTTATTCATGTGTTGGGATTGTTATATGTATCATTGTTCAGTTGATTCAACTACTTATTTTAGAATATTTGCAATTCTTTACAGTCAATACTATGTCCAAAAACCTTTTGATTGTGTATGATTCTGTTTTATGATCACCATGTATTTGTGCTTGTCCTTTTTTACCCTTTAGTTAGTTTGGAAATCACACTTAGTCCTTCTAAATCGGGGCATGAAAATGAGTTCTACTACATGTATCATTATCATTAATGTACTTGCTATGATGAATTTTGTTGATTTATTTATGATTGATGTTTGCCTCAGTTGGGGACCTAAACCATTTGATTTCTGCCACCATGAGTGGTGTAACTTGCTGTCTCCGTTTCCCTGGTCAACTCAACTCTGATCTCCGCAAGCTTGCTGTTAACCTCATCCCATTCCCTCGGTTGCATTTCTTCATGGTTGGATTTGCTCCGCTCACTTCTCGTGGGTCGCAGCAATATCGAGCATTGACTGTTCCTGAGCTAACACAGCAGATGTGGGATGCAAAGAATATGATGTGTGCTGCTGATCCTCGTCATGGTCGATATTTGACTGCTTCAGCTATGTTCCGTGGAAAGATGAGCACCAAGGAAGTCGATGAACAGATGATTAATGTGCAGAACAAGAACTCTTCCTATTTTGTTGAGTGGATCCCTAACAATGTTAAGTCAACAGTCTGTGACATCCCTCCTACTGGTCTGAAGATGGCCTCAACTTTCATTGGTAACTCCACTTCGATTCAGGAGATGTTCCGTAGGGTCAGTGAGCAGTTTACAGCTATGTTCCGAAGAAAGGCTTTCTTGCATTGGTACACTGGAGAAGGTATGGATGAGATGGAGTTTACCGAGGCTGAAAGCAACATGAACGATTTAGTTTCCGAGTACCAGCAGTATCAAGATGCAACAGCTGAAGAGGAAGGTTATGACTATGAAGATGAGGAGGATGAACAAGTAGAATCTTAATGATTTCAGTTGCTGGAGAGTTTTGAGTGCAGTTATATAGTAGTGGTGTTAAGCTTTCTATTTTTGTTTTGTGGTTTGGAACTTTGTGCTGTTTGGCCACCTTGGTGGCACAATTATTGATATCTTTGCATTTATATACCTGCAATATTGAAATCTAATGGATGCTTTCTTTTAGTATCTATCTAGTTCTAGATGAAATACTTCAGAATGGGTTAATGGCTTATTTCTTGATTAACATACCATTTTTTACTTTGATTTTAGTGTTTATCATCTCCGTGGTCAAGTTGGAAATTGCGACAAGCTCAGGTAAAAGCTATAGAGAGCTCAACTTGCAAGATATGTTGTAAAGTTTATTACTACTGTCTGCTATAGGCAGTTTTCTTACAGATTAAATTGTACAAGTCTAAAAATTCATTGTAAGAATATCACTGTGTTTAATGTTCACTTTTACAAGGAAAAGGAACTTCTAATGTGCCTAGAAAAAATAATATTGCCAGTAAAAATCATATGTTAATAATTATTATTTGAGAGATTGATAGTATGTATCATTTTCAAGCTCCAAACTTAGGCACTTTAGCAGTTGAGATCTGTGCAAGGAAATGCTCTGCAACAAGTCGTCGCTGAATTTTTCCAGTTGCAGTTTTTGGTAGAGAATCAGTCATGAACACCCTTTTGGGAACCTTAAAGGCTGCTAGATTTTTCTTGCAGAATACTAACACATCTCCTTCGTCTATCTTTGACCCTTCACGTGGAATGACAGCACAGTTTATCTGTGGAACATCAAGTGTATCTGAATTAGACTATATTATATTATATACATGACAGAATGAAATATACTTCAATGGGTGATATATTAATTTTACCTCTTCACCATACTTGTCATCAGGAACTCCGAAAGCAACAGCCTGAGCAATCTCTGGATGAGAAACAAGGACTGCATCCACTTCAATTGGAGATATCTTTTCCCCTGAGAATTTGTAAAATGGAAAATTGCAGATCAGAAATCGTTCATGAGGTGGTCGAAAGAGTTTAAGCAAGCGTTTAGACATGTAATATGAAATCATGATTTCGTATAATTATGACAATATTCCTAATTTAATTTTTGTATTATTCTGTTGAGACCATAAGGTCTACTTAATTTTCAAGGCGGGGGCGGAGGCTATGTTTAGATTTTGGAAAAGAGTAGATGTCAATATCACAAACCAAAAATTAGGCAAATGACGAAAATTACGATGAAGAAAGTCTCTAAGTAAGCTGTCACATCCTACCTAATAATTAAGGGCGATGCAAGCCAAGTTTGATGGCAACTAGAACCACACATTTGCCTAATAACAGTCGATACAAAAATAACACTAGTAATAGATAGATGGTCCATTCTAGTGTCCTACTAGAATATTCTCCAGATTTTTTTTTAAAAAAAAAAATTCAAAAAGAGAGGTCAATAATGCATTTAATTTCTTATGTAAAATTGGGGCATTGACCTTTGAATATTTTCGAATAAAGTTTACTATGGAAACCACATTTTTACGATCAAATCGAACAATCAATTAAACTATGTTTTAATGCCTATATTAGTCCACTTTGCATCTTTGAGTCTTTATTATTTTTATTCCTTTCTATTTGAGTTTATTTCATTCCAATACATTAAAAACTTTCAAAATACAATCACTATTTATTTCCTTCGTTTGAATTTGTTTGTTTTATTTTCACTTGACATAAAGTTTAAGAAAATAATTTTATTTAATCTTGTGATCCTAAATTAAAGATACATCAAATGTATCAAAATATCATTAATTTAATGATATTAAACATGTCATATAAAAAACTAGAACTAAAAAGTTGCTAAAAAAAAGAAAAAAAAGAAAGAGACTTTCTTTTTTAAAACGGATTAAAAAAGAAAAATAGAAAAACAAATTAAAATGGAGAAACTAGTTGTTCTTAAAGTACAAAGAGCCCGAACTTAATATCCAAGGAAGTAATACATAAATGTGTCATCTAACTTGAGTGTGCATATAGGAAGCTCAAAGTTGGCCTTAGACACTTACCATATAACTTGCCCTTAAACAAAGTTGAACAAGTAGACATGTGTGTCCTATGTAACATAATACAAGTAGGACCTAAGTTGATCGGACTTTCCATTTTTGATGTGCACACGTGTCAAAAGTGTGTGAGAATTGTACATAATTTGGTTAACTGGTTTTGAGTATTTTGAACAAAATCGAGGGAAAAACTTTGGGCAAATTTAATGAATTCTGTAATCAAAACATTTCTTATATATATAAATTTAAATTGATGAAAATGGAAAACCTTGTATATATAAATTTGCACTCCCTTTCCTTTTATTTCCTTCCAAGATTCTCCTCTTGATCATTATTTTCTCCTCAAGTTCTCTTACATAATATCTCATAGTTTATGGTTTATAACTCTATTTTAGCCAAATATCCGCACCCGTATTCAGATAATGGCGGAGCTAGAAATTTCGCTAAGGGTATTCAACCTTTAAAGAGTCGATAATTTTTTTAGCGGAGTGGGTACACATAACATTTTTTTTACAGATGAATAGGTGCACAAAAACTTTTGTGTTTTTTTAATTTAAAAAGAGATTTGTATTTTTTAAAAAGCTAGTGGGGATCGAACCCAAACCTCCATGAGATAAATGACTTTTATCAAACACTAAACTATCCACCTTTGCTATGTTAAAGAGTGTTCAATTAATTATATATACATATATTAGACTATATATTTTGCCGATATACCTGATATAATTTTTCGATGAAGGGAGTTCACCTGACCAGATAAATCGGTAATCTAAATTTTAAAAATTAAGGTCATAGAGAATCCAAGCTCTAGATCTGCATCCATATCGCATATCCGCACCCAAGTCCGAGTAACTTAATGTTGGACGTACGACAAACGTCATATAGGATGCAAATTGCATGTTAGATGCAATATTCAACATGTATGTCTATTTGTTCAATTTTGTACAAGTTTAAGCGTACATCAAAGTTGAAGGGTATAAATTTCAGTTAAAACTAAGTTAGACGACACTTTTGTGGCTTATGTATCTAGGCAATCAATCATGTTCACACTTCACACCAACACTAACATCATGCATTCAAAAGAAGCACTTTGATTGAATATTAACAATAACTTTATAAAGTTGAAATGAACATACCTCCACGGTTGATCAACTCCTTGATCCTTCCAACCAAATGCAAATATCCATCAGAGTCCAAAAATCCCACATCTCCAGTATGAAACCAACCAAATTGAAAAGCAGATTTATTAGCCTCAGGATTATTCTTATATCCTTTTGTAACATTTGGACCCCTAATGCAAATTTCCCCTTTTTCATTAGCCCCTTGTACCACACCATTCTCATTCAATATCCCCAATTCTTGGCCCACTGGCTTCCCTACTGACCCTGGCAAATGTGGACCATTTTCTGGTAATGGATTTGAACACATCAAATGTGTTGCCTCTGTCATTGCATATGCCTCTAAAACAGACGCACCAAATGCTTCCTCTAACCGTGCCAATACGGATGGTGCAAGAGCAGCACTACAACTCCTAATGAACCGGAGTCTCGGGTAAGAAGACTCTGGATTGCTGAAATGACGGTCTAATAGGATCTGGTGAATGGTAGGCACCGCGGTGTACCAAGTGGCGTTGGACTTGAGCATATCAGACCAGAAAGATGAAGCAGAGAATCTACCAGAAGCAGGGAGCGTTACAGATCCTCCAGCACCAAGCGAGCTCAGTAATCCTGCAATGTATCAAAAATTTTGCTTAGGTCAAAATGAATTACGAGTACTAATTGATTGAATTTGGTAATATTCACCCGCAATCAACCCATGAACATGAAACAGTGGCAAGACGATTACTGTAGAGTCCGATTCAGTGAGTTTGTAAACCGATTTAATATTGTTCACAGATGATACTAAATTGTGCTGTGTTATGGGAACGCCTTTTGGTCTGCTGGTAGTGCCTGATGTATGTAGAAAAAGTGCAACATCGGATGGATCATTCACAATTTCAGAAACCAAATCACAATCTGATAACGGAATACTCAGGCTGAGAATCACATCGGAATCGGAACTGGGCACAGACACCTTAATCCGAGTAATATTGAGCTTTGCAGCCGCTGCTTCAGCTGCCTTATTTCCTTCTTTCGCAATTAACAACAGTTTAGACTCAGAATCTGATAAATAAAACTCGAATTCTTCAGGCATATACGCTGAATTCAATGGCGCTGCTGTGGCTCGAACTCGAATCACAGCTAGAAACATAACCACAAACTGAAATAAAACAACACCACATATTTGTTATTAGTAATATAATCAAGGCATCATTTAATTTATACATACTGACAGTGCAAATATACCTCGATAGTATTGGGAAATGTGAGAGCGACTACATCACCGGGCTGAATACCAGCAGCAACGAGTAGAGACGCGGCTTGTTCGATAAGTTGTTGTAGCCTTTTATGCGTGACGATGAATCTTCCCGAAACAGATACTGCGTTGCGGGTAGGGAATTTTTCAGCCACATTTTTCAATAACATTGTGAGCGTTGCCATTTTTTCCAAACAAACAATACAATACAAGAAAGATTAATTAGTTGTAAGTAATAAAAAATTGAGATGAAAATAGAGTTTGATTTAGCAAGGGCATATATAAAGGAGTAAAAAGTGGCGGCAATATAAATGCAATGAAGTAGGAAGGAAGGGAGGATCTATTTTACCAAGGTAGGTACAGGTGGCAAATTCTTGGAGAGGGCATATTTCCTCAATTTCGCTCGTTTCCGTTTGACGCTGAATCCATCATACTAGAAGAAAGATCGTGAGAAGGAGTCTTTAGGGATATTACGAATTCGGATAAATGTAATAATTTTAGTTTAAAATTTGTATTTTAATTAAAATATATGTATAAAATTGAAATCAAAATTGTACTCTTAATATCAAATATTCGTCTCTTCTTAATTATTACTCATCTTTTGAAATGACACATCTATTAAGAAAATAATGATTAAAATAATAAGTTTATTATTTTATTTCTATTAATTATAAGGTGGATGTACTAATAACGTAAGATTTTCAAAAAGTTTTAATCTTTTTTCGAAGTAATTAATTGAAGAATAATACTCCCCCTGTTCCTATTTATTTGTCCACTTTAGAAGTGACATACATATTAAGACACTAATTGTTATCATAAGTTAGTTATTTTACCCTTAGCTTAAAACGTTATGTAACTCCGTAAATATAATAAATGTATTTTCTGGTTCCAAAAAGCATGCATTATAACTTAGTAGTACTAGAATTTTTCTAGAATTAAATAAGGGCATATTAGAAAAAATTGTTGTCCTTTCTTGATTTGTTAAAATTGACTAGTAAATAGGAACAAATATAAAAGGAAATATGAACAAGTAAATAGGAACATAGAGAATATGTAATTTTATTTATCTTTTCTTGATTTGTCAAAAGGGACAAGTAAAAAAGAAAAATTGAACAATTAATTAGAAATAGAGAAAGTAAAAGAGAAATATTCAAAACAATCATGAACTTGATGCAGATTATTAATTTCGTTCCCAAACTATTAATAACCTTAAAAACATCTCTTTGATTAACTACATTTAGATACATAACTGACCAAAGATAAAAATTTAAAATATATCTCATTCATATTATAAAATTAAAATGATACATATTTACTTCTCTCATCAAATGAATATCTCTTTTCAAACATTTTAAAGTAAGACCAAAGTGATTGGGTGAATATGAAAGGGAAAGGGGCTTAGAAAAGTTTGATCCGTCAAAAGGCTCCTTAAGAAGACCAACTTTGAATTGGCTTCATTAGGAGTTGTTGCAAGTTGAAACTTGTTTTGTCTTGTCTTTTAGTAAAAAATTAAAGAGGAAGGACGAGGATTCCACCAAATAGCTTTCCACCCACGGAGCTATCCCGATTTTATTTTTTCCATCTATAGCTGATCGTGTCTTTAGGGTCTCGTAGAATTAATTGTGGTGCACTCATCTTGAAATAGTGAAATTTGATGGATACAGTTAGTCGAGTTCGCATAGCGATATCCGAAAATCACAGGAAAAAAATAAAAAAATCTATAGCTTGAGTATTACATTAATTTTTTTTTACTATTCCCTCTCTCCCTTATTACTTTTTTCATTTTTAGATTGACATATTAAGAAAATAAGTATTGATATAGCAAATTTATTATTTTACCTTTATTAATAATAAAGTGAATGAATTAAAAATTTAAGATTTTCATTTTTTTTATATTTTTCAAAGTAATTAATTGAGGTATTATAGGTAAATTTTTTTTATCCTTTCTTAATTTGTTAAAATGGACAAGTAATTAAAGACAATTAAAAAATAAAAAATATACCGATACTAAAGAGAGTATTTTGAATAATTTCCCTAAATAATCACACATATTTAAAATATTACCTAATAATATTACTTTTGTTTGTTTTAGGACTACAATAGCACCAACTTTATATATTTTATTCTCTTCAAATATACTTTCACACAAAAACCATCTTCTCTCCCATGTCACATTATTCCTTTTTTACTAATAATTGAAAAAATTTACTTTTTAAATCAATCAATATTATATACTAAGCAAAGTGAACATTTTTAAACAACTCATATTTGTTTTCTATTATTACACTTAACCGTAAATATTTATTCTAAATCATTCACTCTTTTTAAGTTCTTAAAAAATGTGCAAGGTGAACATAAAAACAAGTAAAAGTGAACAAAAAAAAAAGAAAAAAGTGATGTTAGAGAATAATTTTCATGGATAGTTAGAATTGAAAATTTTCTCAGTATTTCCTTTTTGTTTGAGATGTTTTACAATTGTTTTGTAAAGTATTACTCCCTCTGTCTCATTTTATATGTCATTCCTTTCTATAATTAGTTAGTCCATAATGCTTGTCATTTAATATAATTAATGCATAAATGATCATATTATTCTTTTTTTTAATCCTTGTGAGTTATTAGCCTAGAACATATATATTTAATTAACTTAGAAAAACTAAGTAATTATTCATGTTCATTGGTTAAAAGAATTAATTAAAATAAATTAATTCATATTCATTAATTGAAAACTTGAGTTCCGAAAAATTTAAATAAGGATAGAAGAGTAAAATCACATAATTTCTAAATGCAAGTGCAAAGTAAAAAGGTGACATATAAAATGGAATTGAGGAAATATTATTATTGCAATTAAGTATTTTCAAATAGTTTGGTGAAATATTTGCTTGAGTTCGAATGTTCTAAATTCTATTTCTAAGCATGTTATCGCTTAAGTAACTCTTCCGCTAAGTAGCCAGCCAGATTAAGTACTTCAAGTGTACCAAATACGTTAACAAGAGCTACCTCATCAAGAATGAGTACATTTAAAAGAAACTATGAAATACCAAAAAGTTTATTAGATAGAGAAGAGATAACACCATACCATTACTTCATAACAAGAATAGTAGATCAAAGAAGATATAAAATTTTAATAAATACAGGACAAGAAGAAAATTATACATACAGAAAATTATGAACAATCAGATAGCACAAACGCAATATGGAATAGCAGATTAAATAAAAAATGGACACCTAAGCCAATAACTGAACAATATAATTTTTTAGATTTAGATTGTGTTACAGATATAAATAAAGCAATATTAGTATGGACAGGAAATACATCTAAACAACTAATTGACAATAAAATAACAACTAGAGAAACGCCAAGATATATAGAAAGAACATTTGTAGGAACAACAAAATTATGGATAGAAAATCTACCCCCAGAAAGTTTAGAAACACTTAGAAGTGATAAAAAAATAGATGGATCTCCATCAACAACTTGTCATTATATGTGGGTAAAATTTATCTAAAAATGATATTCCTAGTAACATATCTTTTGTTGTAAATTCAAAATTGTAATTTCTTCTATTGTTAATATTTTATCCCATATTTGTATTATATCTTTTGCTTTGTATTTAATCATACTCCCACTTAATCCATGCGTTTCCGTCATATCCAAATCTTTTGGATTCATTCCATATGGTAGTTCCCATTCAAAATGGTAGAGTAAATGAGCCAAAGGAAGTTTCACATTAAATAAACCAAATAGAATTTTCGGACAAATCCTTATTCCAGCACCAACTGGAATAAACTCAAAATGATTTCCCGTAAAATCAATAAAACAATTCTCAAATCTCTTTGGTATGAAACTTTCGGGATCATGCCAACTTTCTGGATCTCTCGCAAGTGCCCATGCATTGACCAATATCCTAGTTTTAAGAGGTATTGTCCATCCATCAATATGTGTTTGCTCTCTAAATTCTCTAGGCGGTAGAAGAGGAACTGGTGTATGTTACCTTATTTTTTCTTTAATCATTAAGTTTAGCTATGTCAATTTTTCCAGATTTTCTTCATCATCCTAAAGATTTATCTCACTTCCTTTTGAGCCTTCGCCATAATTGTCACGACTGGAATCTAGACCCCAGACGAGATCGGCGTTGTTGACCTCTCAGAGGCTGCAAACAAGCCTACTTACGTCATTCTTTCTTTTACACAGGTTAATTTTAGCGGAAAATTTGAAAATTTTGATTCTTTAATCATACTTGCTAAACATTCTTTATATTTCGTAATCGTTCATCATCAACCATCTAACAATTAAGAGATAAGCAACTGAAAGAAATAATTCATTAAGTATTAATTGTATATATGCCAAAATATTACCAATACAAAGTCTGAACAAAAAAAGGTTAGAAACGCTAGTGGAACATGCTCCACTAGCTCAACTCAAAAACTACGCTAGAATGTAAAACAGTAGAATCCTCGAAAGCATGAGGATTTACCAAACTCCAGATGAATGCTGACGTCCTGATAGCTGCAACAACGAACCTGTATCTCTACCGTCCACCTGTGCCTGCACCTAAAAGTAGATGTTTTTATGGAATTAGTATACACTTGTACTAAGTATGGGTATATGCAAGCACACACCAGGGACATGCATGAGGAATAATAGCGCTTTCCTAACAAGATGATTTTCGGAAGTCAAGTCAGTGGACTTGCTAAATTGAGATTGGGAAAGTTATGCCATGAGAGTGACATGCATCATTATAATTATCGTACGACACACAACATATAACATCTTCATATAGCACATAAAATATAACACATAGGTTCTTTCACAGTATTCATTCATATGCCATGAGACCTTGTTATCATGGACTTGGCCTTATGACTTTTCAAAAATGAGGGCTCAACATATGGGACCTCAACTAGGGAGACTTCTTTAGCAAACACAGAGTCTGCTTCATTCCTTCATACATATTTCATTTTAATTCATTCATAGGCCAGTGCGAACATCAGCTATACCTAGGATGTAGTTTAAGACTTTCATCGGGTTTGCTGTGCAATGATCAAGAATAACCTAATGTCATTACTTGAATCTAGCTCACCTCTTGATTATCCTATCCTAACACCTTTGGTATCATTCATTTATTTATATGATTCATTTGAGGCTGGCCTCATTCATTCACTGGGAGATTTAACTTTAACCGACATAGATCATGTGAGCATCATGAAATCCAGTGTCTACCCCACACCGAAAAGAGGTGGAATCACCAGCCAAAGCGATTCAATAACATGCTAGCGTATATGGAAATTTAACCCCGCCAGATCCCTATAGTGGCAATATAGGTTCAAAGACTAGGAGATGTATGGAGAGCCATACCCGGCAAGCCAGACAGTCTCATCTCATGAGAGTTACGTGAACCTCCTCCCTTCTCGAAAGAAGGCATCACCGCTCATAGCTAGCCTATCGGTGCTCAGTATAAAGTTCCATTACATTCAACTCATACATCATGGAAGT